CCCAGTATAAAGCACAATCTCTGTTGACAAAGACATGAATTTTCCTCAGTCTCTTCTGAGAAAAAAAAAAAAAATTACTGAAAAGATTTAACAAAAGCTAGTCTTCTTGGTACAGAAACAAGGAATTAAAGATGAAAAAATGAAAGAGGGAAGTGATCTTTTCATGATATTTCTGAAGAATTGGAGGTTTTAATTTTGTGTTGATTTTCAGTAACAGATGATGCCTGGAAACCCTAATTGGTGGAGCATCAATGGCATGCATCCACAGTATCAGCATCAGCATCAGATTTCTTCAAGTCAATCATCAACAGCTTCTTCTCAATATTTGTATGGATCTTCTTCATTTTCTTCTAACTCTTCCTCTGATCGTCATACCAATCAAGAATTTCCTTTACGATCATGGAGCCAACTACTTATGTAAACCTCTCTCTCTCTCCCTCTCTCCCCCACACACACATGCAGACATATACTATATTTTTTTAGGTCTTTACCATATGATTATGGAGTTTGGTTGGGGGTTCTGGTTCTTGAATTGGCCCTAGTTCTTGGCTGGGAGCATGTCTGAGTAGCTTTTAAGTCTCAGCTCCTCCTCTAACTTCTGACTTCATGCTTCTTGATTTATGCATCTCTCGGCTAACTATTTATAGGCTATATAACATAAACAACCAATTCTAAAAGTTTGTGATATTAGAGACTTGATTAAACATTGTGAAAAATCAGCCAACAGTCAATTGGAGTTCAACTGTCTCGTCGCTACCATTTATGAAAATTATGCATAGATGAAAAATGAATTTGACATGAACAGGCATACTGAAGATTAAAATTAAATAAATAAATTATCTCGTCTCTAACAATTTTAAATTTTAGATAAGATGAATTCAACTAACTTTTCCATCTTGTGGGTTTGACTCCAATTATTTTACTTGTTCAGGGGTGGATTTACTGGTGATGAAGATATGTTTGGTACCACTCTTTTGCGGCAGGAAGCGTTGGAGAATGGGGAAGACAAAGTTTTGAACTCATCATCTTTTAGGGTTCCTGTTCTTGATGTAAAGCAAGAGAGCAGCCACTATTACAGACAAGTAGATGATGAATTTCAGGCCTGTAAATCCTCTTGGCCTCAACTTATCCCAGTTTCATCCCCTAATTCCTGTATAACAAGTTTAAGCAACAGCTTCCTGAATTTCTCAAGCTCTAAGGGAAATCGAAAGAATCAAAATCCAGATCAATATTCATCTAAGGTGGGGGAAATTTCTGTCCCTGATGCCACATTTTTCAGTCATAAATCAATGAAATACTTTTTTCCTTTGATTACTGTGTGAAAAATAAGTGTTTTTTTCTCTTTGCACCCCAAAACCTGCTTATAACTGATCACATGCTTAACAATAACCTACCGGATTAACTTGAAATTTACTAAATTGATTAGTAATTTTTTTAATCAAACTGAGGTATATAGCGTTCAGATTCCTCAGTTTTTCTTGATTATTTTCTCCCTTTTCCTTTGTGATAGTGTAACAGCACGATTACTGGTGGGATATCTAAGAAGCCTAGAGTTCAACAGTCATCAACTCAACCAGCTTTGAAGGTCAGTAATCTTTCTCTATTTGTCAGTTCCCCTTTTTTGGTGACGCGGTAGCTAAGCCTAGGAGGGCTTTTTTCTAAAACCTATCAGATTCTTTACCATATTGAACTTGAACTCGTATAAAATGTTCACTATACTCTTGATACTCTTGATGCAGGTAAGAAAAGAGAAATTGGGGGATAGAATAACAACTCTCCACCAACTTGTTTCGCCATTTGGAAAGGTATAATAAATCTATATATGCATATATAAATATACATATTTGTACAGTCCAAACTGAGCTCACTGATCACTGAACACAACATTTTAATTAATTTAAGATGAAACCCATAATATTCCGAGAGAAAAAGATCTGTTTTTTTAACTTTAATCTTCCCATCTAGGCTTGTCTTTTAAGATTAAAAGAAGACTTTAATTTGATGAACATGACTTGGATCTTTGTGGCATGTTTCCCTTTTGCAGACTGACACTGCATCTGTCTTATCTGAAGCCATTGGCTACATTAGATTCCTTCAAGCTCAAATTGAGGTAATGCTTCACATTCTGTGCAGTAAATAATCAGTAAAAGAAAAATCTGCGCCGCACTCGATATTAACAAAATTTTAACTTGTTCTTCGTTCTTTAAATCTGTTCGTTACCATTATACTCGTGCCTTGAATTCAGGCAATCTGCTCTCCGAATATGCGCAATACATCAGGAAGCATAGGTCACCAACAATCTGTAAGTATCTATACATGTGCATTAATTTCACAATTTTTAATGCAAGACCAAGATCCTCTCGCACTCTTTATCACACACATACAAGTACACACGAACGAAGACATGGTACACGGACACGGCATAAATGCATTAGAATGCGACCTGTGCATAATGAAGTAATGATTTATATATAGATTTGGTGTCAAAAAGAAAGGAGGAAATGGTTTGTTTGTTTGTTTTTTGTTTTTTATTTTTTGTTTTTTTTTTGGGAAGAAATTTTAACCTAATTATTGTTGGGAAATAAAACGGATGGAGGTATTATTTATGATACGACATGAAATATATAATCTCAAACAAACAACAAGATAAAATACAAATAATTAATTGACGGAGGAATTGGGTATTTTATTAAATTGACGAATATGGAGAAAACAAATATAATAACTATGTCTATAAAATTATTCTGTATTTCAATAATACAAAACTTGTTAAAAGAGTTTAATACTTATTAGGGTGCAGGCCAACACTAAAAATACCACAAAGATGGAAATAAGATAAAAAATAATGTGGAATAAAGGAAATAATATTTTTTTTCAATTTAAACGCATGGAATAAGGAAATATTATTTTTCTAATAAAGCGTGTAATAAAGGAAACAATTTTTTTTCCAAAAAAATCCAACCTAATTTGGATAAAAAAAAAAATAAAATCTAACAATCTCCACCTTAACGCAAATTTCAATGCAATGAACGAAATTTCAAAATTTCTCCACCTAAAAAAATATACTTGCCTGCAATGAAAAGTTCAAACTTTTCAACAAGAACCAAACTTTCTCCAACACAAAAATACTCATCCTCATTCACGATACCAATACAGATACATGAATCCAAACAACGGGTTTTCCAAAATTCACAAAGAATTAGAAATTATCAAATAGTGTCAAAGCACATAATGTAACAGAATCAACTCCCAATACTTTGATTGAAGGCCCTCGACTAGTTTAAACACCTTTAAAAATGCTAAAAGCACTTGTAATTGGATAAGCATCCACGTACCTATCTCTAATGGATCTATCCCTAACAGTTGAATACGATGTAACCGTACGTAATGGTGGCAAAATGGAATTACCCATATCCTCTAAATCGATTGAGTATTATTCTTCAATATAGACCCCAAATAAAATTCCAAAGGTACGGTACCAAACTAAATCTTCATTACAATACTAAATCTTTGTTGGCTGTTCTTCACAAATTCAGTTCAACCTTGCAAGATGTATAATTGAGACCTCTTCCACCCCTTCAATATAATATGAGCACCCTTCCGACCCCTCCAAACACCACCTCATCTAGATAGCATGTACCTTTTTTGATCAAGAATACTTGACGAAATGAGATTATTCTTCAAGTCTAGAATATACCAAATGTGATCAAGTAATTTGCATGTTTTATCCACCAATTTCAATTTGACCTACAATACCAGCTACCGGACAAGATTCGTTGTTATCCACGACAACAACACCTTACGTCACCGTTTCAAATGTATCAAGTAAATCCCGATTAAGACACATGAAATGCACAAGTGGTATTCAAAATTCACTCTTCGTCAAGTTTGGATTCCATGTCAGAAATAGTTAAAAACATATCAATCACTCAAATAGTTCTCAACTTTGTTGGTCTCGTCTGAAATATTTGATTGCTTTCCATGATTTGCAATCAAATTACTTTTGTTCTACAATTTATCGCAATCCCTCTCAATGTGTCATTTCTTCTTGTAATAATAACAAACTTGATTGTTGAAATTTGACTTCGACTTACCCCTTCTCCAATAATCATGAACATTAATGCCTTTTCCATTTTTGGTCTCAGATCCAACCAAATGCTTCCTTTTCTATTTTGAAAACAAGGCATCATACGCATCTTCAATGGTGAGAGGATCACGATTATACAAGATCGTGTCTCTAAACGAAATAAACGAAGAAGAAAACAAGCAGAAAAAGGATTAAAGCCAAATCATCTTTATCATACTTTACCTAGTCTTCAAATCAGTGAGAATCTCTTTAAGCACAACCAGATGATCTTTCAAAGATCCACATTTTGCCATGTGATAAGAATAAAACCTCTACTTTAGATATAATTTATTTATAAGACTTTTAGTTATTCATAATTTTTTCAACTTCAACCACAATGTAGCTATCATTTTCTCCTTCAAACATTATGAAGAATATTGTTATAGAGATGAAGATGAATCAGTGAAAGTGCCTTTCAATCTCTCCGTTATTTTTCCTTTCGTCGTCCAAGTTGTGGACATTTTGTCAAATCTCAACAATACATTATCCAAATCCATCTAAGTGAGTGCAACTCCCATCTTCACTTGCCACAATGAGAATCTTGTATTGCGATCCAAGAACGAAATTTCATACTTAATAGTTAATAACAAAAATCTCGAACAAACCACAACCAATAGTTCTGATATTACTTGTTGGGAAATAAAATTGATGAAGGTAATATATATGACACGGTATGAAGTATATGATTGTAAACAAACAATAAGATAAAAGACAAATAATTAATTGGAAGAAGAACAAAGTATTTTATTCAATAGACGGATATTGAGAAAACAACTACAATAATTGTCTACACATTTATTCTATATTTTAGTAATATAAAACTTATGAGCAGAGTCTAATAATTTTAGGGGTGCTTACTGAACCTTAAAAATACGACAAAGATAGAAACAAGATAAAAAGTAACGTAGAATAAAAGAAATAATATTTTTTCAATAAAAGATAGTGTAATAGAGGGAACATTATTTTCCCCAAAAGAATCCAATCTAATTTGGATAAAAAAATAAAATCCAACAATTATATTTCACTACTCCATGTGTATGTATACTATTATGTACATGTAGCATAACCGAACTCATTAACATTTTTGAAACCTAAGAAATCGATAAATGGAGATACATGCCTCAATTAAAATTATTTATTTGTATATGTTATATTTTTATTTTAATGCTTTTATGATAAATGAACATTTGTTATATTTTGTACTACTAATAACTAGAACAAAACGAAAATATTTCTGTACCGCAATTTCTTTTGATTCTTTTACACAAATAAATTTCATAATAAACATTTTTTCTAATTTTATTTTTTTAAAGTTACATAAAGGTCATGTGTGTATTGTCCTTGAAGTGTCATGTATCGTAAATTTAAAAAGACGTAAATGATATAGGAAATTTCATGTGGTGTACGAGTTAGACTTGCATCCACGAAGGGACGAGACACATCATCGAGTGATAAAAAATACTAGTATTCAATACATATTAGACATGAACATGCTATTGTAAAGGCTGTAATCTGCACTTCATATCTATGTACACATGCAAAATTGTTATATATTATGGAATTAATTAAAGATCATAGGTCAAGAACAATTTTTTTTTTCCAGGTACAAGAAAGGAATTGTTTATTTCCTGAGGAGCCTGTTCAGGTATGCTTTATTGGATCCATCACTTACCTAAAGAGGCTTTGAATTGCTAAAGCATATAGTGTCTGTTTCTAATTGACAAAGTTGTCTCTGTAAAAACAAGTTTCTCAACTTTTTATTGAACTTCATTACTAAATAATTAAATTTATAATACATAAAGGGAAGATTAATGATTAAAGCTGTTAGTTTCTGACATTTAATTTCTTTCTTTTTTTATTGCTCTTCATCAAGTTCTTCAATGAGATTGGATATGAAGGGAGAGGGGCATCTAAGCAGGTAAATTTTTTTCCCTTAAACTCAAGGATATGGTAATAAATGAAAACGATTCTAATATAACTAAGAACATGTTAAGAATTTCACATGAATTTTACTGAAATATACGTTTTTGATTTGATGATGTTAGGGCAAACAAAGCCAAACTACTGACTTGAAAAGTAGAGGGCTGTGTTTGGTTCCTGTATCTTTCACTCAGCATGCAGGACATGGCATTAATGGAGCATCTGATTGCTGGACACCAGCTCTAGGTGGGGGGTTCTGAATGTAATTTCCATTGAAGCATCTCGTCTAAAAACTTAAGTAGTTTGAGAAATGATACTTTATATTATTTAGTGTTCGATCTGTCCCTCATGTGCAGCTATTAGACGAGGTTGTTCGAAAATTTTCTGTAGCTTCATCCTTGCCTTGTGGTGTGCTATAACATCACAAGCAGTCAGTCTCCAAGTTAAGGCTGACTGCTGCTGATGCTATTATGCATATTCTAATGGGGAAGAAACTTGATGATGCTAATATGGTTTCAAGTATGGAATTAATTTGGATATTGCTGAAATTGGAAAATTGTCATTCAAATTTAAATTATTTCTGGAATTTTAACCCAATCTATTTCACTTTCTAATGCTTTGATAAGAAATTATATCTTTTAGAAAAAACAGTACTGCATTTTGACTTATGATTCAAATAAAAAATAGTTTGAAAACTACAAAAACCCTGAATTGGGGAAGGAAAGAATATCTATTTTCTTCTACCAGTTCGAATCCTTCGAGATAATAGTTTGTTATAAAAGTATATTGCCCTCCTTTAACACCATTACACATGGAGCAGACTTGGGTAAGTTTAAAAGTTCACTTACAAGTAAATATGTTTTAAAATAAACAAATTTTGAAAACTCATAATTTTGACAACAAAATTAGAGTTACTTTCGAAATAAATATATTTCTCTATTTAAAATTACGGATGCCTTCTAGCTCGAGTTTTATATCAAAAGTTTATTCAATATATATACAAGTTTATAATCATGACATGATGGACCTTGGTGGTTCTCATTTTCCAATAGTTCCATGAATAACTCAGAGTGTCGTCATTCATATTTAAATATTTTGTTATATAAACTTTAAGCTTTTTTATTGTAAAATTAAAATAATCCCCCTATTGTTTTTTCTATGTTTAGGTCTATTTAAAACTTTTTTGAGAGGTCCTCCTCTCAATCGCAACTCTGACGTCATAATTTCATCATAAGCATATTCTTACCCCCAAAAAAAAAAAATAAATAAATAAAAATCTTTTTTCCTTGCTTTATACATGGGACTTTCCACACGTTTTCCACTCACATAAAGAAAATTGCTAAGAAAATGTTTCAACTATGCATCTCACACTATACATATTTTATTTTTTTTTATAAAATGTCGACTGCAAATGGGAAATTTGTGGCTAAACATAGGTAGGTCAACACAATCATCAATTCATCATGCATTAAAATATGAGAAACATGGCTTGTTTGCTTATGCTTTTCAAAAGGGGCTTAATCTTTGGAAAGTAAAGAGAGTGTAATTGATGCTCACGATGATGATAGTGGTCGAATTAGTTTATCTTGAAAGATCAACTAACTTGAAACAATAAATAAATTATATAGCTATGATTCCGTTATTGTTTAAAATATTCAAAAACTTTGTGCAAGCGATCGAGATTCTGCTTCAATCTGTCGTGAATGAAAGGAAAAAAAGGATCAGCAAAGTAAAGCTATGGCACGATCTCATCTCTCTAAAATCTAAATGATAACATTGACCCCTTAAAACAAAATTAAAGCAGAGTACAATACCCCTTACGAGGGCTGCAGCTGGAATTACAGTTGCGGCGAATTTACCACAAAATTTCATTTAAAATCATTTTTTGTTATACTTGTTGGATCCTTTGGCATGACTTTTAGTTTTGCTTCTTATAAAAGAACTTCTGGCCACATTAATTTTGTTTGAAAATTAATTTTTAAAAGAGTTTCATATTCTGAAAGTACTTTTAGAGGAAGTCTCATTGGATTAACTTCCTCTAAAAGTTCTTCAAACTAGAAGAAACAGTTCCGTAAAATTAGTTAAAACACTTCCCTAAATATCAAAAGTTCCTTTTGACTTTTCAAAAACCATGTCAAACGAGCTCTATATCTATTAAAAGATTCGAAGCGATTAGGTCCTTAAAAACCACAACATATCTTAACTATTTATCTTTTCCTTGCATTCATTCACATGACTCAGAAACCTGATTCTCCTTGTATTGTGCAAACTTCTCAGCAAACTGTCTGTAATAATAATCAGACTCGTAAGTTTAATCAAGAATGCTACTGGAGAAATTTCTCTCTTTTCCATAATCGTACTTACATAATTGAAGAAGAAAGCTATGAAATGAAAGAAATGATTCATTCATCTGAAAATGTCGTAGAATCAGATATGAATACAGCTTGGTTCATTAACAGAATATGCCAGCATTAACAGAATATGCCAGCTCACTAAACTGCAGTTAACTAACTAACTTCATCTAACCAACTAACGGAACTACAATCAATTGCCAGCTAAGCTAAATAGTCTAATACCCCCCTTCAAGGTGGACGACGCAGATCAGTAACGGCCATCTTGGACAGTAGAGGAAACAAAGAGTTGCTTGGTAAAGCTTTAGTAAAAACATCTGCTAACTGATTCTGGGTGCGGACAGGTAAAAGTTTGATGGAGCCTTCAGTAACTTTATCACGGATGTAATGGCAATCAATCTCGATGTGTTTCGTCCTTTCATGGAAGATAGGATTGTTAGCTATGTGAATTGCAGCTTGGTTATCACAAAATATTAGTGCCGAAGTTGGGGAAGAAATCTGGAAATCACGAAGTAATTGATGGATCCAAGCAATTTCACTCGCTGTGGAAGCCAATGCCCGGTATTCTGCTTCTGCAGATGATCTGGACAATGTTTGCTGCTTCTTTGCCTTCCAAGAGATCAAGGAGTCCCCAAGGAACACACAAAAGCCTGTAACCGACTTTCTGGAATCTAAGCAAGCTCCCCAGTCAGCATCCGCAAAAGCTCGAAGTTGCAGGGAAGAAGAAGCAGAGAATAATAACCCTTGACCTGGAGCAGCCTTAAGATACCTTAAGAGATGATAGACAACATCAAGGTGCAGCTGGCGAGGCTGGGAAACAAATTGACTGAGCTTGTGAACTACAAAAGTTATGTCTGGTCGAGATATAGTCAAGTAGAGTAGGCGTCCAACTAATCTTCTGTACTGAGATGAATCATCAATTAATTTACCTTCAAATGAATTAAGGCGAGCTTTCGGATTCATCGGTAAGTTAGCTGGTTTACAGCCTAGGAAACCTGCATCTTCCAGAAGTTGCAGTGTGTAATTTCGTTGAGAGAGGAAAATCCCATTATGAGACCTGGCTATTTCAAGACCAAGGAAGTATTTCAGTACCCCAAGATCCTTGAGTTTAAACTGGCTGTGTAAGAATCCCTTCAAAGAGTCAATTATATTGATGTTTGGACCAGTGATGATGATGTCATCAACATATACCAACAAGACAACAAATGTGTTCCCAGATCCTTTAGTAAATAAAGAGTAATCAGACTTTGATTGCTGAAAGCCATGAAGAATAAGAATCTGGGAGAACTTAGAAAACCATTGTCGAGATGCTTGTTTAAGACCATAGATGGACTTGTGAAGTTTGCATACTGGTTGTCCTCCCTTTGCAAGATCCTTATGTTTAGAATAACCCAAAGGCAGCTCCATATATATTTCTTCAAAGAGATCTCCATTAAGAAAAGCATTATTGACATCTAACTGGGCAAGATTCCATTATGGATAGTAGCAATAGCAAGAAGCATCTTGACAGTCACAAGTTTGGCAACTGGAGAGAATGTTTCAATGAAATCCAAACCTTCTTGTTGGGTATAGCCCTTGGCCACCAAACGGGCCTTATATCTATCTATACTTCCGTCCGGTTTATACTTGATTTTATATACCCACTTGCAACCAATGGAGTGTTTGCCCTTAGGTAGAGTAGTCACCGACCAAGTATTGTTTTGTTCCATTGCAGCCAATTCAGATGTCATGGCCTCTTTCCAATGTTGAAATTGTACAGCTTGGTGCTAAAATTGAGGCTCAAAATTGGATGAAACATTAAGGAGGTAATTTCTATGTGATGGGGAAAATGAAGCATATGAAATGAACTTGGACAGGGGGTATTTTGAGTTGTGTTGTGGAGAAGGTGTATTTGTCATGAGGTTACAGTGAAATTCTTGAAGATAGGAAGGAGTTTTGCTGACTCTAGTTGATCTTCTAGGGAGAGAGGATGAAGGTTGAGTAGAATCTAGTACTCGTTCCTCAATGGAATCTGGAATTGAGGTTAAAGATGTAGAAGGAATGATGGGCAGGTCAAAGGAGTCCTGGCCATTATCATTATCAACCAAGGGTAGATTGGATGTTGTGGATGGATTTGAGTGATAGGGTATTGAGTCAGAA